CATTTTTAGGAATAAGCTACCAGCTTCTTTTGGTCTAATAGCAAACATTCTGATCCAAAAGGGTTTCTAGACTCTTAATATCTGTGAAATGAAAAGTTTCTATTTATTCACTTAAGTACTTTAGTTTTAGGTCATAAGATATCCTACCCACACTTCCATGTTTTGTGTTCGTCTCTTTCTTCTTCTCTTTTCATCAATAGCATGTTCCTCAGTGTGTGGTTACCACGTTACCTCTTTTATCTCCAGCAATAAAATTAATTGGAAGCGTATTCAGCTTCCTTTAGAGCATAGTCAATGTTATTGTCAAGTGATGGCACTTCCTTACGAGGAGGATGAGCTTTTCTGGTGAATATGACTGACAATCAAACAGCCACTGAAGCTCAGTGGTCCTGGAGTATAACTTTTCAGTAACCCAATTTAGTATTTATTTCTACCCAAAAGCAGAAAACTTAAGCTCATCAATTCTGAGTATTCTTAGTCCAACCCAAGGATCTCTCCATTGCTCTCATTTTAAAACAATGTTGCGTTTGGAGCTGAGCCCTCTTCTCAGATTCTTCCCTTGCCCTCTCCGTGGGATTGCCTCTGGATTCCTAGAGTCAGTCACATCACAAAAGTTGTCAGTTAAGAGGTTGCTGTCTGCTTCTTGGTCCTGTCATTTCATTCCTACCCTGGCCTTTGTTTTCAAACCTATCCCTTCCCCCAGCTCTCTTACTCAGTGCCTTCTCTGTGCAGGACTCCCCCGCTAATGACTGATTTAAGTAGCTTCCTAGTGTTTGTGATCCCTCCAAGATATTCAACTGGGCTGGCCCGTGCCATTTCTTCTGCCGTGGGGCACCCACAACATAGATAGGGGACGAACTAGCAGACCCACCAGAATTCTCTCTGAGAGAATTCCTGTGCCCTTCTTGAGGGGCCTACGGAATGTTAGGATCTTTTCGCAAGACACCTAGGGGTTGAGGGAAGCTTGGGAGGGGGAGGTCTCCAGGCTTTTCATGCTGGGACACACCCTGTTGCCATCTGTACTTCCTTATTCCCAGAGCCTTTTGCAACAGGTGAATCTGTGAAGCTGTTGCCTCCCAAAAATCTCACCTCAAAAATCAGACAATGAGGAGCCAGCCCAGTGGCTCAGCGGTTGAGTTCGCACATTCGGCTTCTGTGGCCCCGGGGTTCGCTGGTTTGGATCCTGGGTGTGGACATGGCACCACTTGGCAAGCCGTGCTGTGGTGGGCATCCCACATATAAAGTAGAGGAAGACGGGTATGGATGTTAGCTCAGGGCCAGTCTTCCTTAGCAAAAAGAGGAGGATTGGTAACAGTTAGCTCAGGGCTAATCTTCCTCAAAAATAAAAAATCAGACAATGAGCTCAAATGCCTTGCTATATAGTCAGATTCTTTATATTTTAAAGGGAAATCATATTATGATCTTCCTTGACCAAGACTTCTCTCCTGCTCCTAATTATACTACATTTCTTTTCTGTGTTTATACTTCCTTTGCTCTCTTCCTTGGTCTGGAGGGCTTTTTCCTTTTCTTTTGCTGGTCAGGAGGAGTGGTGTTGGAATTGAAGTGAGGAACTGGGTCTGTGGCTTACATTTCCTCTCACACCTTTCTCCTAGCTGAATTCCAGACACTCAAACTCTGAAGCCAGAAACGTGATGTCTTTGTTCTCTGGTCCCATTTCTGACAACCACCTCATGAGCCAAATGGCCATCCTGTGTCTTCACTGTTCACACTGAGGAAGTCTGGTTGGGGAGGAGGGGCAAGGTGGTTGTATCAAAGACACATCAAAAAGCACATCGCTTAATATGACATATCCTATTACGAGTGGAGTAGTCTTCATCTGAACTATAACACACTACTGTGTAATCATTTACTGTGTCTTAGGGAAAACATTGTAGATGAATAGTTTAAAAAAATCACAAAGAGAGCTATTTTGTAAATGCTGATATCAGTTCTGTTAAATGAAGGGGTTTTTAAACAGTGCAAAAAGGAATATAGAAACTGGATTAACTTTTCCTCGAGTTGATTTAATGAAAGGATCTTGACTTGTGAGTTGCCAGAGTATAGGCTAGTGCCATGTCTACAGCCACTGTAGTCCACACAGGGGCAGCCGTCCCTGCTCTGGTTAAGACCATTGACTCTGATATCAGACCACCTTGTTTTCAGTACTAGCCCTACCGCTTAATAGTTGCATAGCTTCTCCTACCCCAATTTTCTCGTGTGTAAAATGGATATTATTGTAACATGGTTGGGAGCATTTAATGAGAGATTTCATGTAAAGCGTTTCTCACAGTGCCTGGCATATTCAGACCTAAGAAAATGTTCACTCACATCATTTTTATGATGTTTATCTTCCTTTCTTCTGAAATCTCATAGACTAAACAATAGAACTAAAACTGAGTTACTAATATTGAGAAGATAAACATGGGTAATTTCAAACAGCCAGCGGAGAGATTTCAGGGTGTGTTATGAACTAATTTCACATAAGTTTGAGCTAGGGAAGTGAGAAGGCAAAAAAGCCTGAATAGAAGCAAAATTATAGCAGAGTGGATTTTGTGTTCTGGTAAGAAAATCTGAGGAAATCCCAAATATATGTAGATCACATAGGGATCATGGGTTAACGATCTTGTCCCCTTTAACCCTTGCTGGGAAAACTAAATGTGCTGACTGGCTCTTAAATATCCTGATCTGCCCTCATCACGGTCTAACAAGAAAAATCATAGCCCTGCTTCTCTGTTGAAACTTAGTAGGGTTTTTTGTGGTAGTTCATTTTCTTGCGCTTTACTTATGCCTTTTTTTTGAAATTTACAAGTGTGAATATCTGCTAATTAAAGAAAGGTTTTGATTTATGTCCCAACACCAAGAAGAATCTAAACCACAAGGACTACATTAAATATTTAATATATTGCAGGCCATAGATGATTTGATTGTTTTAAGGTTTCCATTGGAGTAATGCAAAAACTTGGAAACAAAAAAATTCAAGAGATGAAGTTATAATGAGAGAATGCTTTCTGTTATTCAGGTTGGAAAATTTAGGGCCATGTTAAGTAATGCAGTACTTGTCCACAGAAAAAGGCTAACATGATTTTGACAGAGTCATATGTCTTTGCAAAGTAAACTAGGGATTGCCTTTATTTAAGAGGAAAAAAAGATACTCAAGCCACTTGATGATTCCAACACTATTTATGACTTGCAGTGCTGACATTCTATAGATTGATGGACGCTTCAAGTGTGGAAATACTGAGTCATGTAGAAGATGAGATGTTTTAATAATGAAAACAATATTTATGCAGTCAGCAGATTGTCAGTTAAGGTGGTTTAGATTATAAGAGTCACCCGACAGAGACTATGTCAGGTTGCAAATTATTCTCACCACAAAATCGTTCAAAATTGAGTAAAGCAAACTTGGGGAGAATTGGTATACCCCAGATCCTTTTTATTCCTCTTTCCTCCCTCTCTTCCTCCTCTTTATCCCCCTCCTCTTCTTCTTTTGAAATGGGAAAGGAAAACTATTGACTTTGTATCTAAATATGATGCTAGTACACAGAAAAAACAAATTAAGATGGAACTAATCTTTTAGCCTTCAGGAAGAGTTGCTTTTTGCCAGTACACAAATGGGGTAGACCATGGATAGTGCCCTGGGGTTCTGTGAGGTGCTACATTGTCTCCTTCTATTTGTTCTCTCTACTTTCATGTAATCTGTTTTGTAGATTGTCTTAATGTCTCCCATGAACTACTGACTAATTGTGTCTGTTTTGTAATGACACCCATTGTTTTATAAAATTCTTTGACAAGTTGAGGGACAAGAAATGAAATCACTGCAGCTGTTTTAGTTACAATTACAATTTGAAACCATACTGGCTCGTTGAACTATTCAATTTACGACATCTGGCCCAGACTTAACAACAGTTCTGGATCAAGGATCCAGAAGACAGCCCCCAATCCTAGCACCCCCACGACAGCAACCACACTGCATTTCTACTCGCTTGTTTAATAGCCTCACCTTCATGTTTTGATACTTGGTTTTAAACAACTTAAGAGCACTATTTTTCTGAGTCTTTACTCTTCCAAACGATTATGCCTCAGGACAAAAATAAAGGAAGCTGAAGAAAGCGACTTCAAGAGGGTGTAAACTGATGGTGCTTTGCTAATTGCCAATATCAGAAATTAGTCAATTTACTATTTTAGAACCAGATCAGTCACATTTTCTGGGTCTTCTCTTTGATAAACTTCTTCCTAATCATTTTAGCTTTGAATTGGTGTTCATACATATTTGCATATTTGCATTTTTCATTTTTTTTAAAACTTACTGTAAATTTTATTTTCTTGCTATGAAGTGTGGATTTTCATAAGCCATCTTAAATACTTTCTGGAGGAAGATGCACTAAAAATAAGTAAATTTATAAATGGAATATAGGTTTGTGCTATTAGCTATGAACCAACTATATCTATTTTACTGACAATACCAGATTCGGTTTTTAACCATGCCTAATTGCTCACTATAATTTATTAGCAATCCTGTTACGGAATACATTTCCAAATAACACTAGAATTTATTTACTACCGTAGTCCAAAGGTGTCATTCTGACAGTTGCTGAAAAAGTATTAACTGAAGTGCTGCCTAAATGTCCAAAGATTGGTTACATTTTTTTGCCCCAGTATCAGTTCGTTTTGAAATTAGAGATGAAAAAGTTTCGTTTATATTATTTTATATTTCTATTCACTTATACTCCAAGAAAATAAAAACCACAGTAAGAATTTGTACTGTAGAAATAGCACTGTTCTAGTCTACAGTTTTTGTCACCGACTGTGTTGGTTGGCTTTTTGAAAATTGTGAACTCAAGCACAGAATTTCCTTAGAGATCAGGTCTTCCTTGGGTCATGCCTCACAGTTGCCTAGATTGTATTTTTGGTTTCTGTATGCAATGTATTACAGATTATGTCCATTTTTGAGTGCTGCATGTGTGAATGCCTTTTGTCTTTCTCCTTGTCACCTTTTCTAGGTCTACAGCATCAAGACAAGAGCAAGGAATCACCATGGTACTGAAACTCACGGTCTTAGCAAGTCAGGTTGGAGCGTGAATCCATGGGCCCACTGGGAAAAGAGGCTGCCAGGGCTTCCCGTTCTGCAGTGGGACACAATAGACATGCAAGGAGAAGAGGAAGTGCCAGCCACTGACTTTGGTTTGAGCCTTTTCTTGAGAAAGCAGAGTGGGTACTAGACATTAAAGAAAGCATTTTTGTTTGTTTTTTTCCCTCATCTGAGCCTTTGCCAACTGTACAACTCTCTTTTTTTGTCTTACTTTTATCAATGTATGGTTTAATTTTTGTTTGATTTTGATTTTTTTTTCTTTTGGAACCAACCACCTTGTCATGAAAAGATGAAACACGAATGAAAATGCTCAGTCTTTCAGGAATACAGTTTTGTAGCTCTGTGTGCATCTATTTTTGTAGAAATACAGAAAGTTTGATTTAGCATTGATGGGCTATTTTTGAGGGATGTATTTTTTTTAATATTGTAAAAATTGTTAAGTTCTGTTTAAAGAACTTGCTCTCAGAGAAGCACTGGCAAAAATGTTTAAAATGCTTGTCTTTAAGATGTCTGTGAGATGCTCTGTGCTTTCCAGGTTACCTCAAGTGTTTGATAGTTCCTCTTTTTGACAAAAGTAGCACCGTAGCCAAGCCAATATAGTATTGTTTTACATTAAATCTCAGTGAAGATTTAATTTCATGCCAGCTCACTTAGCGTAGAATTACATGGTTAGCTTGAAAAGGAACATTTTAATGACCACACTATAGAAAGGATATTTCCTGGCTTTGATATCTTCCAAAGAGGACTTGGAGGCTGACTAAGAAGAAAGTTTGCGTAAACTTTCACTCAAATGGAAAGTTTGCTGGAGTCTATAATTCCCTTTCTAGTCCATCCAACTTTGATAAGTGAACCAGAGTTTATATTCAACTACTGGGGAAAAAAATGCATTTAACAATGCCACCTGTGAATGTCAGTGACTTATTTTCCTTGTTGCTAGTTATTCATTCACGGCAATTTTTAAAGTTGTATTTTAAGCGGATTATTTTTTTCCTGGAGATAGTTTGAAGTGATAATATTTGGAAAAGTACTAGACTCATCACAAAGCCTTTAATTCAGTGGCTATTTCTGATAATGTTACCCATCATTGTAAATTGAAAAATAATATATTTTATATGTAATTTTTTAAACCTAGGTTTTTGCAGGTTTTTTTTTTTTTTTGGTTTAAATCTGGTTTTAGGTGATTTAATTCTTTTAAAAAAATTTATGGCAAAGTGAAATTTAAAATGGGATTTATATCACAGTTCCTGAAATTAGGTTAACAAATTGACAATTTATTATTTGAAATTTATTATTGAAAACCCAGGATTCAGCTTGACATGGCCCTCAGGATTTAAATAGGGTGAAGTTGGAATTATCATTAAGCCTCAGGAAAAGATTAAGATTATGAAAGTAGCAGTTATTGGTATTTTAGGGACTTTCAATGCAGAGTCCGTCCTTTCAGCTGCTCCCAGGGATGGGTCATGTCATGCTAAGAAGTTAGTGTTATATAGAAGTTTTGATTTGGTAAAGAAGTTTCTCAAGTTTCCCCCATCCCTGTCCCCACCCATGTGAAATACAAAGTTTAGTGAAATACCACTTTCCATCTTAAATTATGTGTGTGGACATTTTAGATATAAGAACTTCCACTTAGCTAGGCAGAGTTCTCACAGATAATTTTCAAACATTTCTCTTAGTTCTATTTTATGCATTAGTTTTCTTTCCTGGTGCATCTTGTGAGTTATGATCTATGCACTCTCTTGTATTCTCATCACTCCATTCATTGCTTCTCGTAACCAGAATCTCCTTAACACAACATGTACATTTTTACCTAATGTAAGGCCCGTACTTAAAGTATCTCCCACTTACTAAAGACATGAACATAGATTTTCAGGGACTGGCTTGGTCACATTATCTACGATTTGATTTGATAGAATTGTTTGTAATTTGCCCAAATCTATGGAGCACAGAGTTGAATGAATCTATAAAACTGGTTTCATCTTGTGTCCTCCTGAGTTTTCAAAGACAAGTAGTTGGCAGTTCCCATGGGATGGCTCACTGGGGGTTATTTATTTTCCTCCTCTTGGAATATATTAACCTCCTTTGCAGTTTCTCTGAAACAGCATTGTACTTTGACTCAGTCAGATCATTCTATTTTATTTTCCCGTTGAGAGGAGAAGAAAGGTAGTCCCTCTTTGCTCCTTTCCTTATTTTCCACTGGATTGAGGTGAAGGAGAGAGCAGACAGTTAGATAGCTTATCCCTGAAGTTAGACTCTGCTCTGTGTTAACTATCCGATGAAACATTCCTTGGCTCTGGGGGCCCAAGAAAACTTTGGGAGCTGAATTCTCCTGAACACAGGAAAGATTTAGAAGTGAGATTCCCCTGTTGAGAACAGGCCCAGGTATTGTTAGCATATTGCAAGGGTTGGATCCTTGTCTATACAAGTTGTGGATCAAAATCTAAGTTAAAAGAGAATGAGTGCATGTCTCCAAAATTGTCTGGCATCCCCTTGCTATGACCATATTACCATTACCACTAGAAGTCATAGAAGAGAATGAGTTGTAATTTAGCATGATCTTCTGAATTTATTTCAAGTTTCACATGCTATCTCTGAGTCTGATTTTCTGACTTCAAAATGATTCTGTTGCATTTGGAGGCTTCCAGACTGCCCAAGTGAGGGCTCCGACTTCCCTCCCCAATTTCATCTGGAACCATTTCACCTTTGGCTATTTTACAAATTAGACTTTCTTTGAGCTGTCTAAAGATCTGTAAACTAGACCCTAGAAAATCATCTCATTTATTGGACATCTAATCTATGCTTCGACCACTAAATTATCGTAAGTGAAGGAACAACATAATAGTGACAGGTTAGATCCTAACAGATTATTTGGTCCCTCATTGTTTATTTGAAAAAAGCCTCTAAACTTTTTAAAAACCAGTGTTTCTTCTTAAGAACCGTCCCCTCCTAACTTTCTCCTCTAATGTTTTTCCTTCTCTTTCCCTTAAAATTATTTACCTTATTATTTTAAGCCAAATTGGCCAGGATTGCTTTAAAGTTTGCAAATGAGAACGTAGTGAGTTGCAAATAATTGGGGAATTTATTTCTTTAACTTTATAACAGACTTTTTAAAAAAACAAATTCTGAGAACTGGCATAAAAAATGCCCTTGATGAGCTTGTTATTCATTCTGCACATAGAATTTGCCCATTCCTATTCTAAGACCTGCAGGATATCTATCACAATCTAGCTTTTGCATTTACTATCTGGTTGTGGTAATCATAAACTATATTTCAAAAAACTGCATTCTATCTCATACTGAAGGTCCGTTTGGTACACAATGTTTGCTGAATTAAGTCAATGGGGCAGTGGCATTAAGTGGTGGAAAAGGAAAGTATTTATGGTAGAATTCTGACTGGGGGATGAATAGAGAAGCAGAATGAATGAATGCAGAGAGCATTGGCTTGGACATTAGGTCATTCTCTGAATTCCGGCTTAGGCACTGTTAGATGTGTATGATCTGGGGCTTCATTCATTTATCTCATGTGTAAAGTGAGATAATGATACATAACTGGCAGGCTGTGAAGGTTGGAAATCATATGTATATATGATCAATCATCTGGCTTATAGTAGATGTTCAGTAAATGACAGCTACCACAAATGTCTATCAGTTGAGTAGGTAGATGATAAAACTGAGCTCCTGAATGTCCCTTCTCTTTACTTTTCACACCCGTTTCTGCAGCAATCAAATAGATACATGACTGTGCTTTTCCACAAGAAAAAGTTGCAAGAGAATCTTTGTCTTCTACTAGGTGTTGAAGATAAAATGTAAATTTCTTAATTATCTCTGACATTTTACTGTGCCATTTATGAAGGAAAATAAATTACCTCTTAGCGGTGTGTAGGTCTAACTCTGACTTTTCTTACCTATTCCAAAATTTTATTCATCCAGGACCCTATGTATTATTGTCTCAAAAATTAAGGCAACAGTTGTATTAAATCACCAAAGTTTTTGTTTTTCAGTTATATTTTGGGCTTCCTTAGCACCTGGAATAAAAACATCTCTTTTGAAGTTATTGGAGTTTTTTTACTTGCCTTGGAGGAAAAAATTGCAAATATGGTGGAAAAAAATCCTCCGCATGAAAAGAGGAGGAAAAAAACAACCCTTTACGGTCTCAGTCAGCAGATTTACTCTACTTTGAGAAAAAAAAGAAGCAACTTTATTGGAAGCAGATGTTGACACTGTGTCAGTTATTGGATGGAAAGAGTTCCCTAGAACCGCCGCGCTTACAGAGGGGTACTGACGGCAGTTCGAACGCGTGTGATGCATCGCCTTCGCGGCGGACAGGAGGACGGCAGGAGCGTGACAGCGCAGGGGACCGAGACTGTCAGCCTGCCAATTGTAATGGACGGGACCCCAGGGACTCGGTTTTGGTTTTTACTTTCCACTAGGATAAAAGACACACCTTTCAGAAAATTTAAGGCTTATTTGAGAGAAATTAAAGTTTACTCTCTAAACATGGCCCAAGAGCCCTTAAATCTATTATTAAAGCATTAAAACTATTATTAAAGTCGTTTTAGAAAAATCGGGTTAAAGTTTTAGTTCCATAATGTAGAAGACGAGTATGAAAACTACACAAAAGTCGATGACTCTGGGGATTGGCGCATGGGTGGGGCCTGCGAGGAGGCTCAGTCTGAACAGCTTCAAATGTTGATCACCTCGGTAACACGATCGTGGAGACTGCTCACAGAACAGACTCAGAATTTTTTCAGTAGGTTTTCTTTTAGTGCTCTCTTAGAAGTTTACTCTGTATACTTTTCCAAAGTATAGAAATAGTCATTATTATTAAAATATTGTAATTTTCTTATTTTTTATTGTCCCTTGTGCTTTTACGTTTGTTTGAAAAATATTTTTATAGTTTCAAATAATTGATCAAACTAGTGTTCCCTTGAAATAACAAATTAATTTGATCAAATAAATTTATCTGAATTTCCTTTTAAAGTTGCAAGAAATACTGATTAAGTGTAATTTACCAATTCCATTGTGTAAGTAAACAGTGACGCCTCCGAGAAAAGGGCAGGTCACCATCAATTAGCTTCCTTTGTAACAATTTGTGGACTACTAAATTTCGACCTAAGAATGACTCTTTTAGAATACAAGATTCTTTAATTAGTTTTTTTTGGTATATGCATAAGATGTGAACTTTTCTAATGATGTCTCTTTATACTAATGGAGATGTACATTTTATATGCTGTGGCTAGGGCAAAATTTAATAACGATTATTTACACACTTGATTTAATTTCTTAGGATATTTACAATCTTGGATATTATATCTGATTTAAGAATACTATTCCCTACATTTTTCTGGATATACAACATATGGAAGGGTTTTCATGTGAATTATTTGTATCATTTTAAAGTGCATATATGGAAAGGGAAAAACATGGGTTCATTTTGTTTTCATCATATAAATCTAGATAAGGTGAAATACTTTTATAAAAAAATATGGTGAACTTTATATTTGTCACTTGATTAGGTAAATTGAAAGCTAATAATAGAAATATTATCTTACAACATTGAAATACAATGAAATTCCAGATTTGTTCGTTCCATGAGCAGTTTTATATTAACTTTACGTTTCCAGAAAAAGAAATTGACTAGTCTTAACTATGTTGTCATTCTTAATTTACAGGAAAATATATAATTCATAAAACCTTTGGCTTTACAAGCTAATTATAAAATCATAAATTTTTTCTGGTTTTCTTGGGGTTCAGGAGGGAGACATTTTAGTGTTTCTATTCATTCCTCAAATACAGGTCACCTAACCGTATCAGTGATATAAGATGATGGAGGACTTTGTAATAAAAACAGATGTCATCTTCAATTTGTTCAATAAATAATTTAATGTGAACTTAATGTTTATATTTTAATGTACCATTTGATTTTGTCTGCCTTTCTTGACAATTAACTAAAGGTCTCTGTTTTCTTCTTATTCAATTAAGCAACTTATAAATATCTTTGGAAATTAAAATGTCGTAGTTTTTTTGTGCATGAGGTTAATTTCAGGAGACAAGGAATTTACATGTTACAGTGAGGAGTGGGTTATAAAATGAGTGTTTATAATGGAAGAGCAAGTGAAATGAGCTATGTTAATTACATAACAGCAAGAGGCTTGTGAATTTTCTAATAAGATGCTTCTAAAGTTACCGGTTACTCTTTGGGAGAGGTGTTTTTTGTTGCTTCATTTTTACCATTGTTATATGGAATTTGCTATAAGTAGTATGGAAAAACCAACAAAACTTTCCTAACAATTCATTGACATTGAAGAAGTGTACCTAGAAAAAAGAACTCCAAGACCTTATATTTTTAAAGGCAGCTAGAGTTTCTCTACACGGCCCTCTATTTTCTTATTAAGTGAATCTTTAATGTGAAAGTGCGAAGTCTGGAAATCAGTATTGAACTCAGTAGACTCTGCAGCATTACAGGTGAAATGATTTGGCACAGACTTCTTAACTATCTGCAATATGTAGACTGGACTAGAGGTATGACTTTTCTATGGCTGATGTAAAAAGTTACTACAAACTTACTGGCTTAGAACAACACAAATTTATTATCTGAATAATAATATTCAGATCTGAATGCTGCTCTGAAGGTCAGACATCCGGCGCTGGTCTTGGTGGGCTTAAATCAGTGTCAGCTGCATCCCTTCCAGATGCTCTAGTGGAGAAGCTGTTTCCTTGCTGTTTCCAGCTTCTAGAGTTCTTGGCTAGTGGCCCCTTCCTCCATCTTCAAAGCTGGCAACCACTGGGTCGAGTCCCTCTCACGTGGCATCACCCTAACCATCTCTTCAGGTTTAAGGACCTTTGTAATTACGTTGGCTCCACCTGGATAATATCGTCATCTCAAGGTCCTTAATTACGTTTCAAAGTCCTTCTTTCCATGTAAGGGAACATATTCGCCGGTTCTGAGGATGAGCGCGTGGACATCTTTGGGAGGACGTTATTCTGTCTACCACAGTTACTGTTAGATTTCAATCAGTTTTTTTTTATCAGCCTTGTAATCTGGGAGGATTTACTATATCACTGGAACTAGCAAGACTTCTTCCATGTTTGCAGTGGTCATTTGGGTAGGATTCATCTTTATTCACTTAAATAATTGCATATGAAGGAATTTCCTGCTGCTTTTTCAAACATTTCACTTGGTTATTACAGTGCCTTGGAGTCCAAAGGGTTATGTGGTATTGATGTCAAACAGGCACGCGGGGGGTGGAGAGCAGACATCTGGAGCAGATTCTTCCTAGCTGAAGTGTGTTTTCTCTGGGGACAATCAACTACCATTTAATTGTTTTGCTTCCCTTTTTGGGAACATATGCCCATCCTGTGATGTCTTAAGTCTCCAAGCATCTCATTTGACCTACTTACACACATTTGACTGAATATCTATATATGACCACATTGCCACATTGACGTGGTAAAGCTTTTACATTTCTGTCCAGATTGAATCATTACATCTGCTCTCAGTTAAGCAGTGGAAAAACTGTTATGGAAAGCAAACATGTTTTGATATATTTAATGTGTAAAGTGGGTACCTATGCTCTGGAATGCTGTTGATCAATAAGTGAGCCAGACTCTCTTAGAAACATCTCTCGAGCACAACTGTTTTACTTTCCGTACCAAGTTTGGCTGTGGCTGAATGAAGAACACCAGCATTGATCTTTACTTTGCACTTGTACAAGAGACTATTTGCAGGCAGCCAAATATAGCAACAGAAGATTTAAGATCTTGCCAAAAAATACAGAATCTGTTCCCCTTTAGGCTTGACACTCTATGCTTTTCGTGTGGATCTTGCTAAAAGGAAAATATAGCTTTAAACTACCCCATTCCTTCTTCAGGAAGTTCCCTAATCTTTTACAAATGGGCTTTTCTGGAGTTTTATGTTTCCAAAAGAAAATGGCTACATGGGAAAGCCATCCAGTGTTATCATTTTTCTTAAAAAAACACTTCTAAATCAAAGATGAGAGTCAACAGCAGTTAAGAAAATCACACTTTAGTGGGTTCAGGACTAACCCAGGATCACTGGGTGAAGTTCTCTGTTTCCTTTAGTATTGAACCAAAAATAATAATTTAAAAAATTGGCTGTAATCAACCAGGTGCTTTCTTTGCCTTAAAACATGGGTGTTTTGCTCTGAATGTTGTCTGATGGGTCGATGGTCTTGTCTAGACTTCTCTATAATGTGGGTAATGACAGTGTCTCTTCTGCTCAGCTTATGATATATAGAGAGAATTTTGAAAATAATTTTGCAAACTTCACCGAGAAAATAAGCTTTCTAAAGTGACAGCTTTACCAGACATCTCTGCGTGGGATTTTAAAACAAACACAAGGCTGTTGGGAAATAGTTGGTATATGTAAATATGCAAAATATGCTGAACAGTCCTAACAGCTGTAGGGTGTACTCCCTCATCCTTGAGCAGAATATTTTGGTGGCAGTAGCGGTTATTTTTTCCATCTTTGCTTGTCATTCCCCCTCCCTTTGTCTCCACCCACTCACCCATCCACACTCTCCTCCAAAAGCACATACTTAACACCCTTCCCCCTACTTCCACGCTGCTTCCAAGAGAATCATTTCAATAGATTCCCACTGGAAAAGGCGGGTGGTGCCTTGAAGGGATGTTTGAGTTACACGATGCTGTGAAGGTTGAGCTTCGGGAACTTGCTTGCACTTGCTGTGACACTGCCTCCTGCACAGCCCAGACACTCCGCAGGCCAGATTCCATTAAGGCTCGTCATGGCCAGGGGAGGGAAAGTCTGCTGAGAGGAGCCTTGCTGCCATGATGATCCCAAAGATTACAGAGTAATCATTTTAAGTGTATGTGATCAGGTGCTGCACATCAAGGAACTCATCCCTTTATGAAGATAAGCAAATGCCTTTCTGCCTAGAGACAAAAAGGAAGGGAAGACTCAAGAGAAATAAAAAATGAAAGCCTCTTTTTGTAAGATTTTGACAGGTTGAAGGTTTAGAGAGGGGAAGGTAGCAAATGTGAAGAGGAGAACCCGGGGTCCTAGGACCGGTTCCCTTCGTAATTTGTTGATATCGTTTAGTCTCATGTTTTCTCAGTTTATTCATCTGTCAGATGAAGATCAAATGAAGTGGGAAATAGAAACTACTTTGAGAAAACTAAATATACTATATAGATACAAAGAGACAGGAACTGATATTTAGTAAAAGTCCTCTACATACCATGAGTATTACATGAATTTATCTCAAGGAATTGTCAGAACTAGCAAGATGCAGATAGCATATTTGGGAGGCTGTTAGCAATATAAAAAAATTAGGATTTGAGTGTTAGTGATGCTACTCAGAAAGTGTACATCCTTGGACCATTTCTTTAAATCTCAGTGTGTTTATCCATAAAATGAAGATATTAAAAGTAACTACTTCGTAGAGTTGTTATGGGGATTAAATAAAGGACAAAAATCATTTACCACTGATATGGTACCATATAATATGAAAACCATTCTTTTTTTTCTTTTTATTTTATTTTTTAGTAATTTAGGGAATTGAGGAAATCATCAGTTAAGCCCTTGACCAAGGACACTCAGCTAGAAGTGACAGAGCCAGGATTCAAATCCAGATCTAAGCAAAAAAAAAATCTTAAAATACCACATTGCCCCCCAAAGTTTTTGCTATTGTCATATTGAATGCATTTACTGTGAGAATATTTTAATAACTTCTTAGCCAACTGAAGTAAGAGAGACAGTAGGAGGAACTAAAAAATGGCCAGAAAGGGGAGGGTACTTTAGAAGAGTGAGCAAGAATAATGTAGTTTTCATGAGCCAAATAGAGTTATGATAGATTTTGCAATTGCAGAACATTATTTGTAACTTGGGAACACAGAATCAGTTTATTCAACATATGCTTCTGGTCTGAAGGATCCTGGTTATTTTTCTACTCAGGTCAACCTCAGATCTCATTAAGATAGTGAATAATAGGTTGGAAGAATTATAACTTCTTTGTGTTGACATCTTATTTTTCATCTGAAAATGTCAACTCTCTAATCTCTTTAGGGATGAGCTCTTCTTTTGTCTGCTAAAAAAATCAAAATTATGTTTTAATCTTGATTTTTCCGTAGAATCAATGTAATGTTTGTGAAGTGTCCTCATTTCTCACACTGAGTGTGTGTTGGGGCAGGGCTAAAGTAGATAGAATGAATCATTTAAAAACACATAATATTTTAACTTGCAACTTCTCTGTCAGAAAGCTAAGAAATTATAAGAATATTTAACTTGAATCTTCTTACCCTCACTTGTCAGTTGTTTGACTTGGGAAAAAGGACTCTTCCTTGTTAGGAAAAGAGAGATGATAATACCTACCTTATAGAGTAGATACATGGATTAAAGAAGAGAGTGTGTAAATGCCTGTTAAATGCTACACCTCTTAGGAAGTGTAGAATTTCAGGTATCGATTACTAATTGTCCCAACTTATTAGGCGACCATAACCAGGAACTTTACGAAGTCTCCTCACTGAGTCCTCAGCACAACCCTCCAAGGGGGTTTTCTTATTTCCACTCTACAGATGAGAAAACTGAATTATAGTGATTTTAAATAACTGCCCAAAGCAGAATTAGAATGGAAAGCTCAGTCTGTGTATCTTCAAACCTCATGGTTTCCACTGCACCATGTTGCCTCTCCATCTACTAAACAGTTAATATTGAGAGCCTGCTGTGTGCTCACATTCACATATAAGATGTAAGAAGACAAGAGTATGAAGATCCTGATCTGAGTAATTGGTTGTTTGGCTTCTAACTGCTTATACCACCAACGAGCTGTGCTCCCTGAACTAAATTACTGGTCAGCTTATTTCATGACTGAGATATCATGATGACTATTTGGAAATCTAGTCCAATTTCTGCATCAG